TCGATGCCAATGCCTGAGCCCAAACGGCCAGGAGACAGGAGAGTGAGGAGTATGCACGAGGGTATCACACGGGTTCATCTCACACACCCCGCCCCGAATCCCGCCCGCAAGGGCAGGGCTCGGGGCAAGGAGGAAAGAACCCGTAACCCTTTTTACTCCTTAGCATTCGCAAGCAGCAGGGCGGAAAATCCTGCGTCGCCTCAGCTGCGTCCCGAACACAACAGCTGCGTGCAAAAGGTACGTAGCACATCCGCTGGTATGATCGGGCAGGGTAAGGACGACAGAGCACCCAGGGCCCCTCTTTCTTCTCCAAGCACACTTTGGCGCCCCCTCGGTGCGCCCCCAAAAAACGCTTCGGCGCTCGAGGGCGGAGAAGAATGGGACACGGGTGGGCGGAGCAAGAGGATCTGAACAATCTAGAGCAACATCAGAAGCTGCTGCGTCAAAGACGCAGCAGGTGTTGCCACCAGCAGCATAACAAAACTGGGTATCAGATCATTATCAACGCATGCTCGTCCTCAGAATATGCTATCGCACAGAGGATGTAAATAATCAAGGTAAAGCAAAGTCGTGTTGACAAACACGAAGAGCTGCATAAACAAATTCTGCATTGGGTTACTCCCCTCGGAAGCACTCCTTATGAGTGTGCCTTGGGTTTCACAAGATGTATATAAGGGGCCACTTATCATGTAGAGTGAAGTGGCCAAAGCTTGTGTGTGTTTTGATTGCTCGAGGCGAACTTCTCAAAGATGAAGCTCAAGCATGCTCGAGCAGTGGGCCTTGCGGCCAACATATCTAGGTATTGCCTCTCATGTAGAACTCGCTGGCCCGCGCGCGGTGGCCGCCGAGTCCAATGAAACTGGTCGTGTGCATTGCCCAAGGCGCCCTTGGGGTCCAGTTGCGGAAACGCTCATTGTGCTGCAGGTCGCGGATGTAGACGAACTCGTCGTTGTTCTCCGTGGTGTGCATCCAGCACTCGCTGTAGTAGCTCCAATACCTTGGGCCCCGCTGGCTGCCCTCAAGGTGCTGGCGCCACCGCGTCGCGTAATCAGCGGCTGCACGCGCCCGCCTGGCACGCGGGGGCGTCGCGGGTCTGCGACTTCCATCGCTGGCGTCGGCTGACTGCCAGCCACTCGGCTGCGGGGCGGCGGCTGCGCCGCTCCGCCCAGCAGGCATCACTGCCAGCGCGCCAGAGGCGCGGCGTCCAGCAGCATCGCCTCGGGCAGCACGAGGCGGCGGCGCCATGGCGTCATGTGTAGTATGTGAGTGCGTGGGGGTGGTGTCAGGATCGGTTCTAACCCCTGAACCCTTCCCCCCTTGCTCATTCGATCCCAGGGCAGGTCCAACAGAGGCGAGCATGGCCAGCTTACGCTGCGCGGTTCTGTCATAAGTGCCGCCCCCGCGGGGGACGGCAATCGTGACAAGACCGCGCTCCTGCCTGGTGCCTCTGTCCATCCTACCCCCATTCAATCACCAATTCTTGCGACCAGCAAAGCCAAGCGCCTGGCTGCGGGCATGAATGCCGCGGGCCGTCTGCATGTCTTCGATCGTCCAAGGCGCCTGACCAATGGCTTCACGGGCTCCGGTCATTTGGCGATGGAATCGGGAATCGTTGAGGTAACGTTGGATGACGTTGCGGAAAGGATGGTACAATGGGCGGTCGTCATCGGGTTCGCCCAGCATCCTGCACGCACTCGCAGGTGGGGAACCCGCGTCGCACCACCTCTTGTACCTCATTTCTGCTTTTTTCGACATCTGCCTCAATCTGTTACGCTGCTCACCGATGTTTGATCGCCGCCCCATCATGTAGACTCGCGTCCCATCGGAGATGAGGCGGGCAACGTCGTTGTGGGGCAGGTTGTCTCTGATCCACCCGTTGAGGTAGGTCATGCAGGTACGCCAGGTCGGTGGCCTCGGCTCCGCCTTTGCCTGTGGCACCTACAGATGTGCTGTATTGCCAACAGATATCACAGAGAGTCCCGTCGTCGGTAACGACCCCCAAAGACAGGAAACGACTGCAGTTCTGGCATCGAGGGATATCACGCTGGAGATCCTCGGGGGGCCCGGGCGAAACCAGATCCCCAAGGGTACCCCAGCTGGTGTTGCCACCGGCTCCTGAAGCGAGGGAATGACCGATCTGGTTCATAGCCTCACGATTGAGCTCAGCGGTGGCTCGGGGAGCGACCGATCGTCCGATTCCCTCGATCTCGGTCAGCGATAACCGATCCCCCGGCAGTCCCGTGTACTCGGTGGAGCCGATGTCCGTGATGTCCACGCGACCGCAGGTTCTGGCCAAGTCCGCACGAATGCGTGTGGCCTCTGCCTGCAGGGTAGTGTCGTTGTCACCCATGGTGCGGTCGATGTTCTGCTGCTCGGCTAGGACCTGTACCATCGTCTCTTGATCTGGTGCGGCCGAAGCAACACTACCTGGGTCCCGTGTCATATCGATTCGAGCATCCTGAGTGGCAGCGCCTGGATCGTCCTGGCCAGGCGCAGCAGGTGTTGCCACTGGCTCCTCCCATACGGGGAAGCCTGGATCTCCATGTCTCGTCTTGCATTCTGCGAAGAGTAATCGAAACGCTGTGAGAGAGGGGTGATTGTCATTGATGGAAACATGGGAAAACTGTTTCAACCCATTGATGCCCTCCAGCAGGAAATTCTGGTATACTTTAGAGATCCATTGGAAGATCCCTGTAGTGGTTCCAAGCACGGATTCAAGGGCGAGAAAACGTAGCATCTTCTGGAAGAAGTGCTCTGCACTGCATGTTGGTAAATCCCGTGCCCAGGTATGGGTGCGGTTGTAATATATCTTGCATGTCTCCGACTCGGTCCCAAATCGAAGCTGGAATCGCATATACGATTCGATCTTGTCTACTACTGGACTAGTCGTAGGTGCGATACGACTCGCAGACGCGACTCGATCTTAGATGTATATGCTGGGGCCGCCGTGTATCTCGATTACCTGGTTGAGTTGGAACATCGGTGACTCCACCAGCGGTGCTGACGTCCAGTAATACACCATGTGGTCATCCGATTCGCGAATCCAGTTGTCGGGATCTTGTGGGTCATAGTCTCGATTCGTAATAATATGCTCTGGCGGATCGATGATGCTGTCGAGGACGGAAGACCCAGAGTCCTCATCTGCATGGATCTCGGCTATCATCTCGGCTCGAATGGTGTCGTTGGCTACCTTTGGATCCGCAGTCAACGTCATATCGGAGATGTCAACGACGATGGTTGAAATATCAGCGGTTGTCTGCGCCGCCTGTTGTCGATTGCCGTCGTCGACATCCATGGGATCTCCAGCGGGTGTCGCCACCGGCTCCTGGTCGGATCCTGGTGACCGAAAAGCGGCGCGTCTGGTTGGCGCGCGTGGGATACGCACTCGTTGAAGAGTCGGGACTCCGAAGTATGGTAGCTCGCCTGATTGAGCATGCTCCTCAATCTGGGCGCTGCATGATGATGGTCCCCTCATTGCTATATCCATGTGGGCATTGTCGAATTTCTCAGTACGTACTGGCATAGCGAAGACGACGCCCAAGAGGGGCAGACTACTGTCACAATACCAAATGTTTACCCATCGTAAACCGTAGTTGAGAATGGGTACCTGTGCCGCAAAGAACTTCTCAAACACTCCGACATGCATGACGGGGCCGTATATGTGGCCCTTGTTCATGCGGACTCTGGTGTTGTAGTCGCCCTTGGGGTAGTGGTTGTCGTAACTGTAGCAATTGATCGGACCCCAGTTTTTGACGAGGAAAAATCTCCGATGCGGACGTCGTTGAAAATGGGACGTCGATCCCAATCTCTCTGTGTAATGTTTGCAATGATGGGCCTGAGGGCCTCTCTGCAGCATGACATTGCAACCAGCCAGTTCTTGTCCTGAATGTTGTGTACACTCTTGCTGACCATGGCACGGACAATGGCCTCCTCATTGAAGGTGTCGGGGCAGGCCCGTCACTGATGGGATGGACACATGGATCTGCGAGTCGCAAAAGGACGAGCGGAGACGGGGCTTTTCTCTGGGCCGCGACCTCACGGGCACACGGTTGAGAGCACCTAAGCCAAAGTGGCTACACCACGGGGGCGGGGAGAGATCCAAAGGGACCAGGGGAGGAGAACACACCACGGGCCCTCAAGGGCCCCGGGAAGACAGCGGGACCAATTTTCGTGGATCGAACACCGTCGCCGTCATATATGAGGAAAGCCGGGCACGAGTCGTCGCACGGGCCGCTCTCCTCCTCCTCCTCCTCCTCCTCCCTGAGTTGGCCGGGCAGGCCGCCGGGCCTCGAACTTGCGCGGGGCGGTATGCGGGGCGGGCGCGGGGCCGTCGCCGCCGCTCCGCCGCCGCCGCCGCTGCTCCTCTCCACCTCTCCTCCGTACTCCCCTCTACCTCCTCTGCTCGCCTCTCCTCCCTCCTCTTCCTCCTCTACCTCCTCAAACCTCACCTTAGTTCCCTCGGTAGTCACCGCCTGAACCTTAGCATGCTCGCTCAAGACCTTCTTCGAAGCTCCCCGGGACCTCGACTTTAGCGAGAGATTGAGGGACCTTTCGTCCACGTGGCCTTCTTCGTCGATCAGACACAACGTGCCTCGAGTCAGCACGTCGTGCAGGGCAGCGTTGCCGCGACTAGGGTCGATCTTAGTCAAAGGATCAGCCGGCATCATGCCGTGCGGGAGCCACCGAACCTTCGATCCGATATTGCTCAACGAATCTCGAATGACCGCCATTTCAATGGCATTGCGACGATCCGCCCTCGATCCGGCGCTGTTCTTGGACAGCGTATCGAACACGCTCTTAGCGTCCACCACGGACAGAGATGAGGCCGAGTCTCCGATCTCGCACTCACGAGCCAGAATCACCGAGAAGGGCCCCTGGGAGGCCATCCAGTCGGGACGCTGAACGTCCCCAAAAACTACATCCCGCCACATGATCTGAAGCCACTGGGCTTCCGCCACAGCTCCGGAAAGTGCCAGAGTCTCAGCTGCGATCGTGCTGGCCACGACTCTCTTGAGCCGCTGGCTACGCCACGACAGCAGGCTCACTCTCGCACGGCGGTTCTCGCGAATGGCACCATCCGCTGCAAACACGAGCCATCCAGCCTGAGCGCCCCCCCGGCGAGCGGACCCGGGACCTCCTGCGTCGGACGCGGTAACAAACGTAGTAGCAAGGGGATCGAGGGGCCAAATCGTGATGTGCTGGGAGGCTGAAGCACGAAGAAACTTGACTGCCTTATTCGCCATCAGGGCGCCCTCGACTGTCGGCTCAGGCAAAGCGGCCGCCAACAACGAGGCGCTGCCGCAGACATCTGGACGCGACTCGCGCGCCAGCCACTGGATCTGGGCCACGGTCGTCCTGTAAGACGAAATTTCCGCGGCAGTCAAGGCGCTCGAGGTCTCCCCTCGGCGATGCTTGTCAAGGGCAATGGGGGTCAGTTGCTCTCGGACATATTTCTCCTGATCTACGATTATCTTCGTTCCCTTCTGCTGGATGTGCCGCCCCGCATAGTCAGCCTCCCCCTCTTCCCATTTACCGAACTTGAAGCGCTCAAAGAGGCGCTCCTTCAAACTCGAAAGCACCTTAGCATCTCCGGAGACGATCAAATCGTCCACCTCGATGAGCACAAGGGACTGAAGCCGACCGGAGGCGGACCTTTGCAGCCAGAGACATGGCTCTAGAAGAGAACGCCGAAAACCAATCTCGCTAAGATACTCCGTAAGGGTTCTATGCCACAACAGTGGGGCATCATTGAGGCCGTACACTGGCGCCACAAGCTCGATGAGGGTTTCCCCGGGCAACCCGAGGCCAGAACATGCCTCAACGTAAATCGCTCCCCGGGGCCGGACCAACTTATTGCTTTGGCAAAACGCATTTTTCGCGTCCGCGATTCCCAGGGGCCATTCCATGGACGCTATCACCTGGAGCACAAGCATAATCGACTCGGATTGTGGAGTGGGTGCGTACACCTGGAGGGTATCACTGTCGGGGTCCTGGTGCCCATGGACGCACCACCTGCTCTTCGCGGTGGGAGGGTTGCCGACCCCCTCGGAAGGCTTAAATCTCCTGACCATCCGCGAAGACAAAATACGATCCGGGTGACGCCGTCGCGTCAAGCGAGACTCCTCCAAGCTGAGGACGCGCACCGCCCCGGAGGCTGTCATGGCCGCCCATTCCTTAGCGTCTGACGCCACGAAACGCTCCCTCTCCTCCGGGCTCAGGTTTTTCAACTGGACCTCGGCACCTCGTCGAGGCACGGGCGGACTGGCGAGCCCAGAAAAACAGTCTGGCAAATCAAAGAAAAAGGTACCCCCCTTGTCGCAAGCGGCAAGAGAGGTGTCGCAAGTGAAACCTCGGGCCAGCAGCTCTTCGCACAACATCCGATCCTGATCGAGGTCCTCATCCCCTCCGAGGTCCTCAAATCCCACCAGTCCCAGGACTGGTTCCCCCGTGACCGGATGTGGGTGCCAGGTAGGCTGTGGCCAATTGCCTTCTCCTGGAGCGTCCGCCCCTCTCTCCCCAGACGGAGGGGGGGACCGGCTCCGACGGCTCGCGGCCGCTCTTAAAACTTGAGGCTCCGCCCGAGGTACGAGCTCCCTGCCGCGGTCCCCAAGGACCGAGCCAGAGCCCGCCGTCGCTCGAGAGGAGGAGTCAGCGCCGGCGCCCTCGCGCTCGGACACCATCCTGGCAACTCTTCCCGAGCCGGAAAGAGACTCCGCAGGAGTAAGATATTGACCAGGCGCACGCACGAGAACCGAGGGCGGTGGAAGTCCCCAGCTGGTCCTCACTGCTGCCCTTTCTCTTTCCAACTCGGCCGTGCTGGAGGAGCTCCTGAGCCCCCCCCTTCTCCGGGACGGGGCAGGGGCCCCCTCGGGAGCGTCTTCCGCCGGCCTCCGCGGGAGCCTCGCCGCCGGCTCCTCGGGCGGGTCAGAGTCGGAGTCGACCGCAACGACCTCTGGGGGCTCGGGGCCAGGAACGCCTCGGCCCAAGTCGATGGGCCGGGGAGGCGGGGCCGGGGCATCCAACGCTCGACGCAGGTCCTCGGGCAGGGGCTCATACTCCGAGATCTGCCTGGGAAACGTGGACCCCCCCACCGAAGCAGGCGCCGCCGGGGCCTCCACTACAGCCGGCGGGATACCTGGGGCCCTCGCGGGCCTCCGGACGTCGCTTTCCGGAGCGCCCAGGTCGCCTGGGGCATCCCAGGCCTCGGGGGGGGAAGGGCCCTCAGCAGCAACATCCACGGCGCCCACTCGCTTCCCCGGGTTTCTCAGCTCCTGCCGAAGTTGATCAAACCGAGGGTTGTCGAGGAGCTCCGCGCCCAGAGCCTCAGGCCGCGTGGCGGGGCGGATCTGCTCGATCGAACATTTCAGCAGACGGTGGCGCATGGCCACCCACACCGTGCTGCGGGCCTGGAATACCACGGCCCCGGGGCCCGTCCAGCGGTCCCGCTGCAAGTCGTGACTTCGGTTGGCCGAAGTGATTTTCCTCCAGACGTAAACCCATTCCCCCGGCTGGTAGACCTTGTCCACATGTCGGCGTGCCTTGGACGCCTCGGCGAGCCGATCACGGGCATCATGAGCCGCTAGGGCCCGCTGCGCCTCGGACCTCAGTTGATGAGCCCGAGCGAAGGCTGCGGCCGCCGTGTCCTGGTCCACAGCGCTGGCCCGGAGATCCTCGACCCCAACGTCATCTACAGCATCGTCGCTCAGCATGGACCTCGGGACCCGGGGGTTTTCTCCGAAGACCATCTGCGCCGGGCTGTACCCTCCCCGGTGGAAGGTACGGTTCTTGCCTGAAACCACCTCACAAAGCAGCATGTCCACCTCCTGTCGACTCGTCGGGGTGGCCGACAGAGAGGCCCGAGACACAGCATTCTTCACGATGCCACCGTGGCGCTCGCACTTGCCATTAAAGTGGGGTGAATTGGCGGGTATCACCTGCAGGTAGATTCCGTGATGTTCACATCCTCTCGAGAAGCTCGCTCCGAATTCGGCACCGCCGTCGGAGAGAATCATCTCGGGAAGGCCGAACGGACGAATCCACCAGCGGGCGAGAGCCGCCCATACCGTCGCCGAGCGATCATCCTCTAAAAGACAGCACTGCTGATAGCTGGTGCCATGGTCTACCATATTGAGAACTGGTAAACTCTCGCCCTGGAACTCAAGGTAAAAGAGATCGACTGACAGCAACCGGTTGAATCGATACGTTCGGGGAAGGTGGGCCTTTCTTCGCCAGTAGGGACGGGAGTGGGAAGCACAGTGAGGGCATTGAAACTTGTGCTTCACCCAGTGAAGAATCTCTGGTCGAGCCCCGGCTATCCGAAGGGTCCAGACGAAGTCATCCAACATAGGATGGCCGAGGTTCACGTGCAGCTTCGAGATTTCTTCCTGGAGGCCCTTGTCTAGGGCCACGTCCTGGGGGTTCCCGGGGGACCGGACCGGCTGGGTAGCCGCCTCTTCGTCTTCGGAAGCCGGGGCACCGGCACCATCAGCCTCTGGGCCGTCATCAGGCCGAGCCTCGCGACCTTCGGCGCCAGAGGGGAAGACTGGGGCGCTCAAGCTAGCCTCACGCTGCCACAGCGCCGTCTCGAGCCCGTTCGCCAGCGCCGTCACGAGCTTGGAAGGGTAGCGCTGCGCCTTGCGTGTCCTGCTGCTCCCCTCCAGGGGGAGATGCTCGTGCTGCCCCGTGCACCTCCTGCCACATTCTTCCAGAAGAGCCCCCTGACTGGCCAGGAACCGGGTTGGTTTCTTAGAGAGGGTCCCCGGAGCCACTGAGAGGCCGCATCGGCACTGGTCCAAAACTCGGGAGACCACTCCCGGCGAGGACGCGATCACCTTCACGCACTCAAGCTCCCAAGAGCTGGCCGACTCGGGATGCTCAAGCACGAAGTCCCTCCCGAGGGACATCTGGTAAGCTGCTATCTCGCAGCACAGTTGCATGAAGGCGAGACCCTTGCGCTCTGTCTCGCCTCTCTCGCTCAGGCCCACGCGGTCCCAATTGCTGGCGAAAGCGACGCTGAAAGCTCGACACACGGGCGACATTGAGATACATTGGGGTTGGTCCTTCCTAATCAGGTCCCAGAGCCTCCTGATCCCCTCCGGGGTGTCTAAGTCCCAGCCGGTCTCGGAGTCGACGGCGGGAGACACCCGATACCCTCTCTTGGCCAGAAGGGCCGAGACTCGAACGGGAGAGAAAACTTCGAGAAGGGAAGTCCCTCCTCTCCGGGCCTCGGACGAGATGAGCTTACGCCTCCTCCAGGCGTGCCTCTTGTCAACCCCCGAGCCATCTAGGGCCTGAAGGGCTGCCTGACGAACCTTACGTGGAACCGTGGGGGCCTCCAGCTCTTCCGAAACCCCCGCAAGCCTCAGGGCCACGAACGCGTCGGACTCCACGACGTAGTACCGACCAGTCCCCTTAGCTCCTGGACCACAACTGCCGGGGTCCCGAACGGCCGATCGGGGCACGCTATCTGCTAAGCTAGTGGCATCGTCGCTCCGAGCCCCAAGCCCGCTGAGGCCATCTGAGGCCGCGACCCCTCCGGGCCCGCACCGAGGCCCAGGCCGACTAAGGCCTTCTGAGGCCGTGACTTGCCTTCTCGCCCTCTCCTCATCCTCCTCTCGCTCCTCCTGATCCTCCTCCACCCTAGACGTCCAGAGATCGATCGAGCAGTCCGAAGCCTTTTCCTGGCTAAGTTTCTTGCCCAGCTCTCTGTAGCAAACGTGCCGCCACAACGAATCTAGCAGAATAGAACCTTCGCGGCGGACCGTAATCCTGTGAATGCCAGCCGGCATGAGGCTCCTGGGTGGCCGACCGCCGCTCTTGCCCAGAGCCACTCCGACAAAGAAAGCAAACCGATCCGTCGCTCCGAGAGTCCGAGAATGCCATCCGAGCTCGTCGCTGACGTGATCGAGAGAGACCTCCCGAGCCTCGATCCGATCCCAGATGCCCCGAGCGCGTCCCGGGGCAGAGGGCCCGTCACGGACCTGACGATCGCGGACCATCTGGACCGAGAGATCGTGGAGGACCAGATCACTGATCTCGGATGGGGCGAGCTTGCCGATCGATCGCTTCTGATCTATCTCGGGCCAGTCCCCTAGCGCCGCCCAGGAGCTCCTCAAAGGTGCGGGTCCCCCTCCAGGTCGTGCTCCTCCTGCGGCTCGGCTGCCGCGTGGAGAGCTGCCGCATCCGCGGCCCTGATCCGGCGCGCCAGGCGCATGATCTCCTCGTCGCTCATCGGGCCCGCCGGGCGCACTGGAACGGTCGCAAGCCCCAGCTGGACTTCGGCGAGCTGCTCTGCCATCACGTGCATCTGATCGAGCAAGGTCTTCATCTGGTTGGACTGCAGTTGCTGTGCCGAGAGAGCCGAGAGCGGCGGCGGCATCCTCCTGCCCGGGACGGGCGGCGGCGAGCGCGCCGGAGGCGCTGCACGCGTCGCCGGAGGGCTCTTCACCGCCGTCGGCGGCACACCCGCCGGAAGGTCGGACGGCTCGAGCACCGACATCCTGGACTGGATGAGCTTCATCGCCTCCTCGAGCTCCGAGGGGTTCGGGCCGCCCGAGCCGCTGCTGGCACCCGGGGCCCACTTCGGGCGAGCCCCCGGGGCGGTCGGGCGCGGGGGCTCGTGCGGCACTGGCGCTGCCGCCCAGGGCCGTCCTGCGAGTAGCCGTCCACCA